CAAAGAAAAAACATGGCTGTGGCTCACAAATGGAACTCTGAAAAAGGAGACAAAGGAGGGCCTGATCCTGACAGCCCAAGAACAAGCCATTCGAACCAAGGCCATCCAAGCCAGAACTGAAAAGTCAATGACAGATCCCAAGTGTAGACTCTGCAAGGAAGCAGATGAAACAATAGATCCCATCCTCAGCTGCTGCAAGAAGATCGCACAGACAGACTACAAGCAGAGGCACAACACCGTTACTCAGATGACTCATTGGAACTTGTGCCACAAATAGCATCTGCCTGCGACAAAGAACTGGTGGGATCACAAGCCGGAAAAAGTTACAGAGAATGAACACGCTAAACTCCTCTGGGACTTCCGAATTCAAACAGAGTTCTGGAGCACAACACTCCTGACCTCAAAATCGTATTAAAAAACAAAGTATGGATTATCGATATTGCAATCCCAGGTGACAGCAGGATTGCAGAGAAACAACTGGAAAAGCTGACATGATATGAGGATTTAAAGATTGAACTGCAAAGTCTCTGGCACAAGCCAGTCAAGGTGGTCCCAGTGGTGATCGGCACACTGGGTGCAGTGCCTAAAGACCTTGGCCTGCACTTAAACACAATCGGCACTGACAAAATTACCATCTGTCAGCTGCAGAAGGTCACCTTACTGGGATCTGCATGCATTATTTGCCGATACATCACACAGTCCTAGGCACTTGGGATGTGCCCAACGTGTGATCCAATACAACAGCCAGCAGAGTGTCTGCTGTGGACTCATCTTGTGGTGTTTCTAATGATAATAATAATAATAATAATAATAATAATAATAATAATAATAATCTTTATTTATACCCCGCCACCATCTCCCCAAGGGGACTCGGGGCATCTTACATGAGGCCAAGCCCGATAATACAATGCATCTGTAAATCAACACAGCAATAAAATAAAAGAAAAAAAATCCAATACACAACCATTATAAATAACATAACAGCAATAAAACAAAACATTTAAGAACACAAGAATCCAACACTGTGGGCAGGGCCAAACCTAATAGATTAAAATTTTAAAACACTGGGTGTGAAGAGCAGTAAAATGAATCTATACAGGGATTTTTTGAGGGTAAGGTAGGGTTGAGTGCCCCCAAAAGTAGAATAAAGCACTTCAGAGGACATTTTGCAGAGAATTGCTCAGAGCAGGGAAATATTGTTCATTTATTCAGGGAAGGCTTTGAAGCTACAAGGCTAAATTAACTGATTTATGAGGCCATAAAGAAGACTCCAGCAAAGCATTCTAGCGGGGGAAGCATGCGGGGAATGCGGAAGTGCTTCATCAGTGTCGCAGATGGAGGGTGAAAGTGACAAGCTCCCCTGGCGGCCAGAAAAAGTTAAATAGCCTCTGTGTATGTCTGTATATGTTTGTATGTCAAAAATTGGCATTGAATGTTTGCCATATATGTGTACATTGTAATCCGTCCTGAGTCCCCTGCAGGGTGAGAAGGGCGGAATATAAAAGCTATAAATAAATAAATAAATAAATAAATATTCCGTGCTAATCAAGGTGGCCAACTGCAACATTCACACTTGCTTCCAGTAAACAAGAGTTCCTTCTCCCACTCTGGACATTATTCCACAGATATATAAACCTCACTTGCCTGGTTTCCAACAGACCCTCAACCTCTGAGGATGCCTGACATAGATGTGGATGAAACATCAGGAGAGAATGCTACTAGAACATGGCCAGACAGCCTGGAAAACTCACTGCAACCCAGTGATCCTGGCCATGAAAGTCTTTTGAGAACACATTCTAGTATTTTTCCCATGGATGCATAGAACTGATTGCTATAACTGTGTTTTCGGTTTAGTTCTTTTGCTTTGAGACCACTTTTAAGCTTGGCTGCAAAATGTGTGCGCTGTGGGGAGAATAATTCCAGCCTTGCCCCTGGCAGGCTTTTTCTCTTGGCAAAATAATAATCATATACGTCCCATAATTTATAGCAATACTGGTGTGTGAGGGCTGCACTGTTATTATATCCCTGTATTCCTTACAGCCGCAAAATAATAAGCACGTCTCCTTTTCCGAGGCGGTTCACCACAGGATGCTGGGCAAAATCCATTAAGCAAAGCGCTGGAGGGGAAATAAAGGTGTAGATGCATCCTAGGTTTCCATACTGAAGGAGAAAACTGGGAGAAGTTCCTTTTTAGAGTACAGTTCGCCCTTGCCATGATTTCTGGGAAGACCTACCACTTGATCACATGGAGAAATTTCCCATTTGAAGGACACTTCAGCCTCTTTTCGAGCATGGAGAGGTACTGAGCTCAACTACTTCCGGCCGTCACTTTCCCTGTTCCAATGTAATCCAATCAAATCACGATCCAACTAAACCACAAGGGTCAAGCTCAAGGCCTGTTGGCCAAGTGTGGCCTGGACATGTTACGAGGCCTTCCAGATTCTGGACTCTAATCCCTGCCTTCCTCATCACGACTAGAGCTGATGGGAGTCGGGATATAGGGACTCCTGGAAGGCTGTCGTTTGTTCTATTTACTCAGGAGAGTGGGGTTTTGATTGAGATACAACGCTTGTGGATAGGATGCCTGGCTCTCGAATGCTCTTTAACCTTTCCAGATAGGAAACCATCAGGGCCAGCTAACACCTCCCAACAAAGGATTCCCCCCAGGCAGGAATCAGCCAGGCTTTGTAGCTAGAAAGCTATTCAATGCTAATCAAGCTGGCCAATTGCAACATTCACACTTGCCTCCAACAGGCAAGAGTTCTTTCTCCCACCCTGGATATCATTGCACAGATATATAAACCCCACTTGCTTAGTTTCCAACCTCTGAGGATACCTGCCATTCGGGGGGGGGGGGGGGCGGACGTCAGGAACTTGGCGATACAGGCCGGAAAACTCACAGCAACCCATTTCATATCATGTCATATCATATCATAAAGGTAAAGGATTCCCCTTGACATTGTCTAGTCGTGTCCAACTCTGGGGGAAGGGTGGTGGTGCTCATCTCTATTTCTAAGTCAAAGACTTGGCATTGTCCATACACTCCTCCAAAGTCATGTGACCAGCATGACTGCATGGAGCACCATTACCTTCCCGTTGGAGTGGTACCTATGGATCTACTCACATTTGTATGTTTTTGGACTGCTAGGTTGGCAGAAACTGGGGCTGACAGCAGGAGCTCACTCTTCTACCCGGATTTGAACCACCATATTGTATATCATATATCATATCAAACATCATATATATATCATATATCATATATATCATATCACATATCATATCATATATCATATATAATATCATATTGTTTCATATCATATATCATATATCATATCATATATCATATAACATATCATCATATCACATAATATCATATATCATATATATCATATCATATATCAAATAGCATATCATCATATCACATAACATAATATCATCATATAATATATATAATATCATATCATCACATATCATATTGTATATAATATATCATATCATACATCATATATATATCATATATCATATATATCATATCATATATCATATCATATATAATATCATATATCATATCTTATATCAAATAACATATCATATCACATAACATAATATCATCATATAATATCATATATAATATCATATCATATCACATATCATATCATATATCATATATATCCAGGGGCGGCTCATCCATTACGAAGTAAGCGGTCGCAGTACACTTTTTTTTGCCAGGGGCGCAGAGGCGCCACTGTAAATGCCCCTCGACCGCCACTTGAGTAGCGCCCCCTCAGCTCACAACAGCCCTAGCAGTCCGGGGGGAGCCTCGGCTTTCTTGCCTCGCTGCGCAGGCGATCCTCTTCCCAAAGGGGCCGGGCCCTTGAGCCTCGCCTAGCCCCTCTCGTTCCTGCTCCACCTGGCCACCGGGTGCGCGAGCAGAGCCGGCGCTCAATCATTCTCCGCATTAGATCCCTTCCCCATGACCGATCCCCCAGCGCTCCACCCGCCTCCTCTCCTCTTCCCAATCCGCGGGTGGGCCAAGGAGCGGAGCTGTCGCGCCTGGCCCGCTTCGGGTTCGGAGACGTGTCTGAAGACCCCAGTGTGCGCACCAAAAGTCGCCTGTTCTTCTGACTTTCTCTTCAGCCATTGGGACCAAGAGAGAGAGAGAGAGAGAGAGCCCCTCCGGCTGGAGGTATCTCCCACCTCCGCTCCCTCCTTTGTTTTTGCGCCTACCTTCAGGAAAGGTGGGCATCTCCACCTCTCTCTCTCTCTCTCTCTCTCTCTGTCCCAATGGCTGAGGAGAAAGTCAGGAGAAGAGGTGACTTTTGGTGCACACGCCGGGGTCTTCAGGCACGCCTCCGGACCCAAAGCGGGCCAGGCAAAGGAGCAAGTGCGGCAAGTGTAGTTACTGGGATGTATAGTTCACCTACAATCAAAGAGCATTCTGAACTCCACCAATGATGGAATTGAACCAAATATGGCACACAGAACTCCCACGACGAACAGAAAATATATATCAGTGATTGGTTGGGGGGGGGGGGCGCCAAAATACTGTTTGCTTACCCTTGAAAATTACCTAGGGCCGCCTCTGCATATATCATATAATACATCATATCATATATTTTGTTGTTGTTCATTCGTTCAGTCGTTTCCAACTCTTCCTGACCTCGTGGTCCAGCCCACGCCAGAGCTCCCTGTCGGCCGTCACCACCCCCAGCAGCTTCAAGGTCAATCCAGTCATATATATAATATCATATATCATATCCTATCGTTTCATATCCTATATCATATCTTATATCAAATATCCTATCCTACCCTCCACTATGAGCGCTGGAGGGCTCTAGGGTGGGAACGGGGCTCCTCCCTGCTCACCTGCCGGACGCGGGAGGGGCGTGGCCTTGGCGCAGGTGAGCGTGGGGCGTGTGCTAGGTCCCCGCCCCCCGGGCTTAGCCCTGTCCCCGGCTTCCCTGGCGCCCAGAGCGGGACTGCGCGCCTGCCTGCCTGCCTGCCTGCCTTCCTCTGAGGACGCAGCCATGTTCTGCGCCCAGCAGCACCTTCAGCCCACCCCTCTGCCCCCTCCGCTGCCCCCTCCTCAGGTACAGGTGTGCCCCCCGCGGCCTCCCCCTCCGCCCCAGCCCCCGCAGCCGCCCCGCTGCCGCCCTCCGCCCCTGCCCCGGGTCTGCCCGCAGGAGCCTTTGCCCCCGCTCCCGCTCCCTCTCCAGCAGCACCACCCTCAGCACCAGCAGCAGAGCCAGGAGGGGTCCGGGGGGAGCCTGGTCTACCGGCGCGTGCGGACTTACAGCAGCCCCGGCGGCGGGGGGCGCATCCCGCACCAGCTCCTGGAGGCGCCCAACGGGGGAGGGCCCCCCTCGCCCTACGAGACCACCCCCGGGTACCAGCACGTCATCTGGAGCACCGAGCCCCCCACCCCCGCACAGGTAAGCCGACATTGGCATTCACACCAGAGACTTCCTTGACCTGGACCTTCCAGGTGTTTTGGACTTCAACTCCCACCGTTCCTAAACAGCCCCTGCTGGAGGGATCACGTTTGCCCACTCTGCTCTGCAGGACCCCAGAGAGGACAAACCATACAACCTCTGAGAATACTTGATTAACACTAAATAGCCTTGCAGCTTCAAAGCCTGGCTGCTTCCTGCCCGGAGGGGGAATCCTTTGTTGGCAGGTGTTTGCTGGCCCTGATTGTTTCTTCTGGAGCTAACACCTCCCAACAAAGGATTCCCCCTCCCCTGGCAGGAAGCAGCCAAGCTTTGAAGCTGCAAGGCCATTCAATGCTGGCCGATTGCAACATTCAAAGCTGCCTCAAGCAGGCAAGAGTTCTTTCTCTCACCCTGGACATCATTCCACAGATATACAAACCCCACTTGCCTAGTTTCCAACAGACTTCCCAGGATGCATGATTAACACTGAATAGCCTTGCAGCTTCAAAGCCTGGCTGCTTCCTGCCCGGAGGGGGGAATCCTTTGTTGGGAGGTGTTAGCTGGACCTTATTGTTTTTTGTCTGGAGCTAACACCTCCCAACAAAGGATTTCCCCCTCCCCTGGCAGGAAGCAGCCAAGCTTTGAAGCTGCAAGGCAATTAAATGCTGGCCAACTGCAATTCAAACCTGCCTCAAACAGGCAAGAGTTCTTTCTCCCACCCTGGACATCATTCCACAGATATACAAACCCCACTTGCCTAGTTTCCAACAGACTTCCCAGGATGCATGATTAACACTGAATAGCCTTGCAGCTTCAAAGCCTGGCTGCTTCCTGCCCGGAAGGGGGAATCCTTTGTTGGGAGGTATTAGCTGGACCTGATTATTTTTTGTCTGGAATTCCCCTGTCTTCTGAAACAATCAAAGCCAGCTAACAGCAACCAACAAAGGATCCCCCCCCCGACAGGAAGCAGCCAAGCTTTGAAGCTTCAAGGCCATTAAATGCTGGCAACTGCAATTCAAACCTGCCTCAAACAGGCAAGAGTTCTTTCTCCCACCCTGGACATCATTCCACAGATATATAAACCACAGATATATTTTCCAACAGACCTCACAACCTCTGAGGATGCATGATTAACACTGAATAGCCTTGCAGCTTCAAAGCCTGGCTCCTTCCTGCGCAAGTGGAATCATTTGTTGGGAGGTGTTAGCTGGCCCTGATTGTTTTTTGTCTGGAATTCCCCCATCTCCTGAAACAATCAAAGCCAGCTAACACCAACAAACAAAGGATTCCCCCCCCCCGGCAGGAAGCAGCCAAGCTTTGAAGCTGCAAGGCCATTAAATGATGGCCAATTGCAACATTCAAACCTGCCTCAAACAGGCAAGAGTTCTTTCTCCCACTCTGGACATCATTCCACAGATATACAAACCCCACTTGCCTAGTTTCCAACAGACTTCTGAGGATGCATGATTAATACTGAATAGCCTTGCAGCTTCAACACCTGGCTGCTTCCTGCCCGGGGGAAATCCTTTGTTGGGAGGTGTTAGCTGGACCTGATTATTTTTTTGTCTGGAATTCCCCTGTCTCCTGAAACAATCAAGGCCAGCTAACATCAACCAACAAAGGATCCCCCCCCCGGCAGGAAGCAGCCAAGCTTTGAAGCTGCAAAGCCATTAAAGGCTGGCCAATTGCAACATTCAAACCTGCCTCAAACAGGCAAGAGTTCTTTCTCCCACCCTGGATATCATTCCAAAGATATATAAACCCCACTTCCCTAGTTTCCAACAGACCTCACACTCTGCGATAGATGTGAGCAAAACGTCAGGAGAGAATGTTTCTGGAACATGGCCATACAGCCCGGAAAACTCAAAGCAACCCAATGTAAACCTGCTCAGAATAATAAGACTTGCTTACATGTATGCTCTTAACGTGCTTGAGAGTAGTTGCTCTACAATGTTTGGGGTTGATGGCACGATCGTCAGCATAGATGAAAGCTGAGGGGGGAAAGGAAGGGGCCTGAGGCTGTTTGGAATGGTGGGAGTTGAAGTCCAAAACACCTGGAGAGCCCCAGTTGGCCCATGCCTGGGGTAAACAATGCGGGGATTCACTTTTATCTGCTGGATGATAACAAGTTAATGTTTACAAGAGAAGCCGCAATACTCTTACAACCAGCGCATAACTATAGCATTATGGTTCCACTTCAACTGCTATGGCAAGTTTTATGGGATGCTGGGATGGACTGTTTTGGGTGCCTGGGACTGTCTCCCTTCCCTTGCTTGAGTGACACCAATCGTATTGACGCCACTGGGTCTGGTTCCTGAATCTGTGCCACTAAGCTTCACAAGCATTCATTAATGCTCTTGCAAAGCTTTCATTCAAGTGGCATTAAAGTGCTCTCCTCAGCTTCCCTGAGACTTTGCTTAGGTAACTCAACCAAGAGACAATTGGCCACTGAAGTTTCCCATAGTAATGATGGTTGTGGTTGACTTAACAGGCGCGGAGCCTTACAAACTTATACAACTGGCTTGATTTATCTATAGTTTCCTTCTTCTGATGTCAGTGTTTCTCAACCTGGGGTCCGGACCCTTGGGGGGTCATGAGGAGGGTGTCAGAGGGGTGCCAAAGACCATCAGAAAACACAGTATTTTCTGGTGGTCATGGGAGTTCTGTGTCGAAAGTTTGGCCCAGTTCTATCACTGGTGGGGTTCAGAATGCTCTTTGATTGTAGGTGAACTATAAATCCCAGCAACTACAACTCCCAAATGTCAAGGTCAATTTTCCCGAAAAGTACCAGATCCCACCTGATCTTGAAGGCTAAGCAGAATGATATCTGATTAGTAGTTTTATGCAAGACTACTAAGGAGTACGAAGTACTGTAGACCATCAACTACAGCTCCCAAATGTCAAGGTCCATTTCCCCCAAACTCCACCAGTGTTCACATTTGGGTATATAGTGTTCATATCAAGTTTGGTCCAGATCCATCATTCTTTGAATCCACAGTGCTCTCTGGATGGCGGTGAACTACAACTCCAAAATTCAAGGTCAACACCCACCAAACCCATCCAGTATTTTCTGTTGGTCATGGGAGTTCTGTGTGCCAAGTTTGGTTCAATTCCATCGTTGGTGGAGTTCCGAATGCTCTTTGATTGTTGGTGAACTATAAATCCCAGCAACTACAACTCCCAAATGTCAAGGTCTATTTTCCCCATACTCCACCACATTTGGGAATATTGAGTATCTGTACCAAGTTTGGTCCAGATCTATCATTGTTTGAGTCCACAGTGTTCTCTGAATGTAGATGAACTACAACTCCAAAACTCAAGGTCAGTGCCCACCAAACCCTTCCAATATTTTCTGTTGGACATGGGAGTTCTCTATGCCAAGTTTGGTTCAAATACCTAATATGCTCAAATTTGAATACTGGTAGGGATGGTTTTTTGTCATTTGGGAGTTGTAGTTACTGGGATTTATAGATCATCTACAATCAAAGAGCATTCTGAACTCCAATGAAAGAATTGAACCATGAACTCGCATGACCAACAGAAAATATTGGAAGGGTCTGGTGGGCATTTACCTTGAGTTTGGGAGTTGTAGTTCACCTACATCTGGAGAGCACTGTGGAGTCAAACAATGATGGATCTAGACCAAACTTGGCACAAATACTCAATGTGTCCAAATGTAAACACTGGTGGAAAATAGACCTTGACATTTGGGAGTTGTAGTTGCTGGGATTTATAGTTCACCTGCAATCAAAGAGCATTCTGAACCCCACCCCCCACCCCAAATGAGAGAATTGGGCTAAACTTCATAAAACATACTGTTTTCTGATGGTCTTTGGTGACCCCCCCTCAACATTCCCTTGTTTTTTAGTTGCTTTTTTTCGAGTAAGTCGCTTCTGGTGTGAGAGAATTGGCTGTTTGCAAGGACATTGCCCAGGGGACACCCATGTTTTACTATCCTTGTTGGAGCTGACAGAAGGAGCTCATCCGCACTCTCCCCAGATTCGAACCTGCAACCTGTCGGTCTTCAGTGCTGTGCTATAATATAGCTATTACACTGGGTTGTTGTAGGTTTTCTCGGGCTATATGGCCATGTTCTAGAGGCATTTTCTCCTGATGTTTTGCCTGCATCTATGGCAAGCATCCTCAGAGGTAGTGTGGTCTGTTGGAACTAGGAAAATTGAGCTTATATATCTGTGAAATGACCAGGGTGGGGCAAAGGGCTGTGTGAATGTTTCAACTGACCACCTTGATTAGCATTTGATGGCCTGGCAGTGCCTGGGGCAATCTTGTTGAGAGGTGATTAGCTGCCCCAGATTGTTTCCTCTCTGTTGTTTTGCTGTCGTAATTTTAGAGGTTTTTTTTATACTGGTAGCCATATTTTGTTCATTTTCATGGTTTCCTCCTTTCTATTACACTGACATGAACTTTGGAATTGCGGTCACCATGGCTATCTTTGCTTCTGCGTATCTTCCCAGAAGTTCAAGGTAACAGATTTCTGGCAGCGTTTGTGAGTTTTGTGCTTCCACTGAATTTCCGATGTCGATCGAGGCCAAAGAGATCTCTGATTCCCTGCTGCCTGGTCTTTGAAGAGAGATACCAAGGCCAGGATATTTTAGGGAGTGTACTGTTTGTTAATAGAAGCGGTTGTTGTTCCTCAAGTCAAAAGGTGTTCCTGCATGAAAAAGGAGGGCGGTGTGTGTGTGTTTTGTGTCCTTGGCAAGCGGTTTAGGAATCTTGGAATACAATGAAAGCAAAGTAGTGTTTAATAAGAATGAGGGAGGCAAGGATAACAGAATGGGAGAGAGAGCACAAGCAGGGAGGATAGAAGCAAGTGCACCGCAGGTCTTAAATGAATGTGCATCATCTGCCTTCAAGTCACTGGTTGACCTATGGTAACCATAGGCTTTTCTAGGCAAAGAATATTCAAAGTTGGTTTTTCCAGGTCCTTTCCCAGAAGTATAATAGTATACAGTACTTAGTAACCTCACATCCAAATGCCC